GCTTTTCCCTTGCTGTTTTAATATTCTTTTTCTCTAATTTTTGTCATTTTAATTACTGTGTCTTGGTGTATTCCTCCCTGGGTTAATCCTGGATGAAATTCTCTGCTCTTCTTGGACTTGGGTAACTGTTTCCTTTCTCAGGTTAGGAAGGTTTTCAGCTATTACATCTTCAAACATTTTCTTCAGGCCCTTTCTCTCACTCTTCTCCTTCTGACACCCCTATAATGTGAATATTAGCATACATGACATTGTTTCAGAGGTCTCTTAAATGGTTCTCATTTCTTTTCGTTTTCTGTTCAGCAGCAATGATTTCCACTACTCTGTCTTCCAGCTCACTGATCCATCCCTCTGTATCATTTAGCTTACTATTAATTCCTTCCACTGTACATTTCATTTCAGTTATTGAATTCATCTCTGGTTGTTCTCTGTATTTTCTCACTCTTTTTAACTTAAGAATTTACAACTTCTTGCTTTGTTCATTCATTCCTTTCCTGAGCTCTTTGATCATCTTTACAATCACTACCCTGAAACTCTTTCCTGGGTAGAATGCCTATGTCTACTTCACTTAGTTCTTCTTCTGAGGTTGTGTCTCATCCTTTTGTTTGGAACATGTTCCTCTGTCACCTCATTTTGTCTAAGTTGCTACTTGTATTTATATGTTGTTGTTGTTCAGTCGCTCAGTCATGTCTGACTCTTTGCAACCCCATGGACTACAGCATTTCAGACTTCCCTATCCTTCACCATCTCCTGGAGTTTGCTCAAACTCATGGCCCTTGAGTCGGTGATGCCATCCAACCATCTCATCCTCTGTCACCCCCTCTCCTCCTTCCCTCAATCCTTCCCAGCATCAGAGTATTTTCCAATGAGTTGACTCTTCACATCAGGTGGCAAAAGTACTGGCACTTCAGCTTCAGCATCAGTCCTTCCAAAAAATATTCAGGGTTGATTTCCTTTAGGATTGACTGGTTTGATCTCCTTGCTGTCCAAGGGACTCTAAAGACTCTTCTCCAGTACCACAGTTCAAAGGCATCATTTTTTATGTATGTGATAGTTAGTCACATTTCTTTACCTTGGAGAAGTAGCCTTCTGTAGAAGTCACCCTATGCATTCCAGCACACTGCCCTCTCATCAGTCAAGTATATGCTCTAGGGATTCTCCCTTACAGAGTTGCATGGGTGTTCTGATGTTGTGCATTATATATGTGGTCTGGTGGGCTTGGTAGGCTTCTAACCCAGTTGGTTGCCAGGCCTTACTTTGTACAGATGCTGCTGACTGCTGTTTGGTGGAGCCCGGAAATGAGGCAGCTGGCTGCAGACCCTAGGGATCGCAGGGTAGTGTTTGCTCACAGGTGAGTGGAGGCAGTGTTCTGAAGACTCCAGGGCCTGCCCACTGGTGGGTAAAGCCAGGTCCTGGGGTTAATGTCAGACTACTGGCAGGCAGAGCCAGTTCTTGGAGTCTGGAAGCAGGGCCCAGGGATCTCAGAGCTCATTTCAGATTTTTACAAGGGGATCAGCTCCTGGCACTGTTGGATATGGGCTCTGGGGTGTTCTGAAACTTGTGTCGGCCTGCTAGTGAATGGGGCCAGGGCCCAGCTGGTTCCAGGGTAGGGTCTGGCCTGCTGTGAGTGGGTTGGGTATGCAGGCTGCAGGATTGTAGTTTTATTGAGTCTGGTATCTGCTCTCTGGATGATGAGACTGGTCTAGGGGGTAGTGCAACCTTCCTGGAGGGCAGGGCTGGTGCTTACCCATTGGTGAGTGGAGCTGGGTCTTGGTCCTCTGGTGGGCAGCATCATGTCTAGGAGCATGTCTAGAAATGTCTGTGGCCTCAGGAAGTCTTTAGGCAGCTTGTCTGCTGATGGGTGGAACTATGTCCCCACCCAGTTAGTTTTTTGGCTTGAGGCTTCCCATCAATGATAACTACAGGCTGTTGGGTAGGACTCGGTTTTGGCATTCATAAGTAGAATGAGGGTCCCAAGATAGTAGCCACCAGCTGGAGTGTTCAAGCTATAGAACATTCTCAAATATGACTGCTACCAGACTCTATGTCCCCAGAGTGAACCACAGCCCCTCACCCTCGCCTCTCTGGGAGACTCTCTAAGACCAGCAGGTAGATCTGGCCTAGACTCCTATCAAGGTACTGCCTTCACCATGGATTCCCATGTATATGAATTTGATGTTCACCCTTTCAGAGTGAAGTAAGTCTCTATTTCCCCCAGTCCTGTGAGGCTCCTGAAATTAAGCCCCTCTGGCCTTTAAAACCAAATGCTCTGGCAACTCCTGCAGCTCAATTCCAGAAAAATAAATGGCCCAATCAAAAAATGGGCCAAAGAAATAAACAGACATTTCTCCAAAGAAGACATACGATGGCTAACAAACACATGAAAAGATGCTCAACATCACTCTTTATCAGAGAAGTGCAAATCAAAACCACAATGAGGTACCATTACACGCCAGTCAGGATGGCTGCTATCCAAAAGTCTACAAGCAATAAATGCTGGAGAGGGTGTGGAGAAAAGGGAACCCTCTTACACTGTTGGTGGGAATGCAAATTAGTACAGCCACTATGGAAAACAGTGTGGAGATTTCTTAAAAAGCTGGAAATAGAACTGCCATATGACCCAGCAATCCCACTTCTGGGCATACACACCGAGGAAACCAGATCTGAAAGAGACACGTGCACCCCAATGTTCATCGCAGCACTGTTTATAATAGCCAGGACATGGAAGCAACCTAGATGCCCATCAGCAGACGAATGGATGAGGAAGCTGTGGTACATATACACCATGGAATATTACTCAGCCATTAAAAAGAATTCATTTGAATCAGTTCTAATGAGATGGATGAAACTGGAGCCCATTATACAGAGTGAAGTAAGCCAGAAAGATAAGGACCATTACAGTATACTAACGCATATATATGGAATTTAGAAAGATGGTAACGATAACCCTATACGCAAAACAGAAAAAGACACAGATGTACAGAACAGACTTTTGGACTCTGTGGGAGAAGGCGAGGGTGGGATGTTTCAAGAGAACAGCATCGAAACATGTATATTATCTAGGGTGAAACAGATCACCAGCCCAGGTTGGATGCATGAGACAAGTGCTCGGGCCTGGTGCACTGGGAAGGCCCGGAGGGATCGGGTGGAGAGGGAGGTGGGAGGGGGGATCAGGATGGGGAACACATGTAAATCCATGGCTGATTCATGTCAATGTATGACAAAAACCACTACAATATTGTAAAGTAATTAGCCTCCAACTAATAAAAATAAATTGGGGGGGGGGGAAGATTTGAAAACAAAAAAACAAGAAAAGAAAAAACCCAAACGCTCTGGAGGCTCATCCTCCCAGTGCAGGACCCCTAAGTTGTGGAGCCCAACGGGGTGCTCAGAACTGTTACTCCTGTGTGAGAACTTCTGCAGTGTAATTATTCTCCTCTGTGGGTTGCCACTGAGATAAGGGGCTTGAGTATATTGCAAGTCTGCACCTCTTAGCCATCTCACTGTGGCTCCTTCTTTATGTCTTTAGGTACAAAAGATCTTTTCTAGTAGGTTTCAGCATTTTTCTTTGATGATTGTTCTACAGATACTTCTGATTTTGGTGTGCTTGTGAGAGGAGGTCTTTCTACTCCACCATCTTGGCTGATAATCTATTTTTTCCTCAGTTTTACTCATACCTGCTGTGAGTCTTCTTTAATATAGCACCAGACAAGGATAAAAACTCTTCTGCCTTTATTTAGAAATACTATAAAGCATCAAGAAGGAGATACCTCAAATTTAGGTAGGAATATGTGATATATTTGTAAAAATGAGTACTCAACTAGAGAGACCTAGAATCCAGAAAGAAAATTACAACAAAAAAATTTCAGAGTGAAATGGGGTACTGCCCAATAGAAAAGGAATTAGAAATTGCATGTCTTGTTCATTGTACCAACTTTTGAATTCACGGTTTGTCCTTGGGCCTCTAACTCTGACCATAGTGACTTTTCTGTAAACAGCACTTAGTAAATGTGTATTGAATTATATTAAAGTATATCTAACTTGATTCAAGTTGTCAACCACCATAAAAACTATCTGGTTAATTAGATGTATATAGTTCTTGGGGTGAGTTTCTTGTATTCATGCACAAGTACAAAAAAAAAAAAAAACAGCTATCTTAACACTGGCTAATTGTAATACTTATATTGTGTATGTCAATGTGCTCAAACAGTCATGTCCAACTCACTGGGACCCTATGGACTGTAGCTCATCAGGCTCCTCTGTCCATAGAGTTTCCCAGGTAAGAATACTGGAGTGGGTTGCCATTTCCTACTCCAGGGGATCTTCCTGACCCAGGGATCAAATTCACATCTTCTTCATCTCCTGCATTGGCAAGCAGATTCTCTACCACCTGGAGAGCCCCCAATACTTACATTACTGATCTTCTACTATATTCAAGTATTTCCTATAAAGACTATTAGACTACTCAAAATTGCCCAACAATATTTTAATGCCCATTTTATAAATAAGGAAACCATCCCAAGGTTTTGAGTAGCCCATATAACTCATCTAGTAAGTAAAGGAGTGAAGAGCTGAATGTAAGCCTCTCTGGTGCTAAACCCATAATTTTTCATCACATCACACTGCAATTGTAGCCTTAGGAACAATAGATAGGCTTGGGGTGGTGCTACATAGAGAAATAAGAAAATTTTTGAGCCTTAAAACAATCGATAGAGCCTGTAAAAATAACTCAGTTTTTCCTTTCAATAAATCAGGCATTCTTGTCATTCATTTTTGCACGTAGAGGGCCGTACTGTGTGAAGTTGTATTCAGTCAGAAGTCTGTTCCCCATGTGCCTGCTGTCATCTCTTACTTGATTATAGGAAAACTAAAACATGCAGCAAAGTGTGCAATCTTATTGGCATTGGTTACATTTCCTCCTTATTTACTGCTTGAAACTCTGCCCTTTCTTTGGCAAACAATACACTTAGTTAAGAATAACTCTATTATCCTTTTGTAAACAGGACTACTGCAAAGGTGACACTCAATTTCTACAGCAGAGGCAAGCAGATGGCTCTTCATGGCTCCCCACTGACCAGGCCACAGAGTGGCCTTGATGGCAGCCAGTTGCCTGCCCTCTCAGGGTGAGACATATGAATACAGCTGCTCTTTGGGGAGAGAACTGGACAAGAAAGGAAGAAAAATGACTGTCTAGAGGAGAAAAAGTGAAGCAGGAAAGAGGAGGCCAAAACAACAGGCTCACTTAGAATTTGTTCATTTTACCAAATAATTGCTGCAAAGGAATAAAGACCATTGATATACAGTCTCAGTCATGTCATGGGACAAAGCATAACATTCAATCTGATGTCTGGGCTTCTTGCCCATAATAAAACGTTATTGCATAATGAGACTGATTTCCTGCATTAAAAAAAAAAAGAGGTGAATAATATTTATTTCCATATAAATTATCACCATTAGTTCACAAAATGCTTTCTTTGTTCAGGAATTACAGGAAAGAGGAGATGTCAAAACAGAACATAAAGGAGAAGCAAATTAAATATATTAGTAAATCATAATACTTTCATGGAATCCTACAGTTTACCAAAATTGCCACCATTATTTGGCTAAATCGGACCAAAACCAAACCTTGTAAGACAGGGTCTATAATCCTTCTTTTATAGATATTTGGATGGCATCACCAACTCGATGGACATGAGTTTGAGCAAGTTCCGGGAGTTGGTGATGAACAGGGAAGCCTGCCATGCTGCAGTTCATGGGATCGCAAAGAGTCAGACTTGACTGAGCAACTGAACTGAACTGAACTGATCATCCTTCTCTTACAGGTAAGAATTCTACTCTAGGTATCACTGGTTGTGATGGTTAATTTCATGTGTTGAGTGGCCACAGGATGCCCAGATTAAACATTATTTCTGAGCATATCTGTGGTGGTATTCTGAATGAGATTATCATTTGAATGGGTGCATCAGTAAAGCAGATTATAAACCCAATGTAGTGAGAATCATCTAATCTAATGAGGACAGAAGAAAAGCCAGAGGAAAGAGAAATTCACCCCTTCATTTTTTCTGCCTCACTGTTTGAACTGGGACATATCATCTCACCTTCTCTTGCCTTCGGTCTGGGGTTTACACCATCAGCTCCTTTGGTTCTCAGGCCTTCCAACTTGATGAAATTACAGCGTGGGCTTCCCTGGGTCTCCAGTTTGCAGGTAGAAGATTGTGGAACTTCTTAGTCTCCATAAGTGCATTAGCCACATATTTTATACATACATACATATATATATATAATATATAAATATTATATATTTTAAAATGTAAATATATTATATATATATATATAATAGCCATTTATATATATATAATCTCCTCCTGGTTCTATTTCTCTGGCAACCCTGGCTAAGAGAAAACAAAGAATCCAGGACTTTACCAGGGACTTCAAATCCAAACTTCAGGAACACATTTTCCATAAGACTATACAACATCCAACTGTGCATTTTACTTCTGAAAAAGAATGAGTTGAGTCAGCTACTTCTTGCATATTTCCACAGCTGGGGCACATAACCTGTACAGTTGCTCAGAGTCCTACAACTACAAGGGCCCTGCCCTTGGTTTTATACCCTGTTGTCACCATCTTGTCATCTGAACAAGACGTCCTACATTTTCATTCTGCTTTGGGCCCGCAAATTACATAGCCAGGGCTGTCCACAACACCCTACACAAGCCTACCAACACAGATCACACAGTCTCGACTGCAGGTTTTAGTAATGTACTGTTGCCAGCAGATGGCCACACCTTCTGAGTAGGCCTCTGAGACCTTCCATGATGGGCTTGTTACCCTGATCTCACCTGGAATGGAACTCTCCATTCCAGCTACATTGCCTCTTGGTACTTTTCCTTCTACATGAAGCACCATCTCCTTTGCCTAAAACACTCCCTCACCCGTTCCCCAGATATTTCTGGGCCTCATTCCTCATTCCTTCCTCATTCCATTTATCAGTTCAAATGCTATTTCAACAGAGAGAACTTCTCTGACCATCCTGTTTGCAATGTTCCCCTTTCTAATCGCTTCATTTACCTTCCTTAACTTTCCTTTACAGTGCCAGGATAATATCTTCAGTAATATATAGTCATTGATTTTATTATCATTGTTGTTCTGGGCTGAACTGTGTCCCCACAACACTCATACATTGAAGTCTTAACACCTGTACCTCAGAATGTGACCACATTGGGAGATAAGGACTTTAAGGAGGTGATTAAGTTATAAGAAGGCCATTGGGGTGGGCCCTAATCAAATCTGACATAATGTCCTTATCAGAGGAGGAAATTTAGACACATAGACACCAGGAGAATGCACACACAAAGGAAATATCACATGAGAACATAGCTAGAGGGTGGCCCTATGCAAGTCAAGGAGAGCGTATTCAGGAGAAACCAAACTTGTTGACACCTTGATCTTGGATTTCAAGTCTTCAGAACTGTGAGAAAATAAATTTCCTTTGTTTAGCTCCCAGTCTGTGGTATTTCGTTATGACAGCCTTAGCAAACTAATACAATTATCTTTGCCATCCACTAGAATGTGATGTCTCTGAGAGAAGGGATTTTGTTTCATCCACTGCTAAAGGCTCAATGCCAAGCAACAGACACAGTAGATAATTTTTAATTGTTGAGTAAGCAATAAATAATTTCACAATTACTTAAGAGGAATCCGAAGAGAATTTCCAAATACTCTGTGCTATTCAAATATTTTATTTTTTATGCTACCTGAATTAATTATGCTGCAGAAAAACTTGGGAACCATTTTGTTAAACAAAGGTTCTCATTGTAATGAGACTTGACCAGCTCTGTATTTTTGCCCAGGCTGGTAACGCATCCACTAATGGATTCTGTCAGGACCAAGAGACCGAAGATCACAATCATGCTAGAAGGAAGGCTATTGTCACACAGTATTTGTTATTAGAAAAATTACAAAAAACAACCTACGGCAAAAATCAATTGGGAACTAAAAGGATACCCAAGAATCTCCCTCCCATGCATTTCTTTGATACTCAAGATCAGTTGTAACTAATTACTTTTAGCACTTCTAAAGCTGCATAACTACAGCTTTATTCTAACAAACACCACATTTAAATTGCTGCATTTTTCTTCAGCTCGTGTCAATATCATCACAGCTTTTGTCCTCACATTAACAGGACAAAACAGGGGAGTAGCTAATTACCAATCAGCACATTGATTGACAGTCCCACAGTTCTCAGCCTCTATGCCCAGGGTGGCTGGTATTCTCTAGGAGGTGACATATTGAGCTTTTCAGGCATTTCTGCCTCTGATGATGTTTTTGACATGGGCTGTTGGCTCTGACAGCTTTTACTGGGTAGGTAACTGGAGCTACCTGGGTGTCACAAGGCCCCAAAAGAACATAAGAAGTTATCCTCTTGGGCACAGGATATGTCTACTGCCTAACACAGTGCAGACTATAGAAAATGTTACATAGATGTTGATGCTTTCCATTTATAAATGTATAAGATCAAAAGGAAAGGGAAACTGTGGTAGAAATTTCAGAGTAACTCCTGTTTTACACTTGGCTTCCTCACAAGTCTTATTTCCATGCTACTAAAAACAGAGACAGAATTAGATGTACTAAGAGGACTTTATGCCAGCTACTCAGAGTAGCTTATTAATACCTAAAGTTATTTTAATTATCAACCTAAACCTCTGGAGGAACTATTTCTATCAATAATGGATGATGAATCTAACGTTCAGAAAATTCAAGGACTTATCCAAGATCATGCACTTAGAAGTGACAATAATGACATCTTCCAGCATTCCAATTTCTGGTGAAAGAAGCTAACTCCTCCTTTTGGAAAACCAGCCCTTATCCTATCTTCAGCCTTTGAGATTTGGTTGAGGCAGACCTAACAAGTGGTCCTGAGGAATGGACATGTAACCTAGGTCCATGTATCTATAGCAGTAAGAGAACAAGGATGACATCTGGGACTTTTGCAGGAATTGTTACACATATATTACACTGAACCTACCACATCATCATAGGAAGAAAACCTGGCTAGAAATTAAGCAACCAGAGCAAAAAGCAAAGCAGAAAATGAAAAGCCCTGATCCAGAGAAGGACTGAAAGAGAGACAGATAGAGAGACTACAGAAGCATAATATGATTCCTTCATCTAGCCATGTCACAAAGGTCTCACAGATCCATACCTTGGGCTTTTAATTTTGTCTGCCACTGACTTTTTTCCCCTAAAGCAAATTTAAGTATTTTTTGTTTTTGTTTTTCATCACATGCAATCAAGAGTCCTGTAGGACATCTAGGACAGGGCTGTACACTATTTTTGACCAATCATTACTCACTTTATGATGTTCTTTTCCCATGATTGGCTCAATAGTTTAGGTTTTATTGATTCAGTTAGTTATTGAAAACTAATACCAACAAGGACAATATGACTCTACTATCTTCATTCTAATAATCATCATAGGAATCTCTATGTGTCATCATAATATAGTGTCAACCCTACCATGAAATGAGATAATAAGTATTTACTAGGATATCAATAGCTTCTGATCCTTGCTCTACCTCCTGAGGAACTTCCAGATGAGACCAAGGCTTGGAGACCTAAAGAACTTGACCAAGATCACTCGGATAGTTAGTGGCAAAGATAAGTTGACCACTCATCACTCTCCTGTTACAAATACCTTTTGGTATTGCAAAGACAAATAACCAGAAAGATAGATAGCCCTTCTTGTAACTTGTAAACACTTCAATCAATTTAAGATGAGTGAAAAAGCCTCAGTACTAACTAAATATCTTAAGAATGGGTGCCTCATTTCTAAGCTAAATAGCCAATTAAAAATTTCCCTGTATCCATGGTTTTAAACTTTATTTTGAGGACCCAAGGACCAAGAGTTTGGGTGGGCATATTTAATAATCAAAATATTTTGAAGTAAAATTATATCAAATTTAAACATGGAATTCTTAAAATATCGCCACAGATTCTGGGAGAAGCTGTTTGAAAATCACTCTCCTAGAGTAAATAGAAAATATTGCTGTCTGTTTACACTTGGAACCAGAGAATAGTCTGCAAATGGACAGAACAAGTCAAAAGAGACTGAGAACCAGCTATAAGTTCCAGTTATCTGTATGGAATGGGAGTGAACAAACTAGGGAACAGAGTACAGAAAAGGGTCACACCTGGAGAGAGCTGTTACAGAGCTAGTCGGATT